TATGCCATTCGTAAGCCATCTGAATAAATATCCTTTCTTTCACACAGAAAAGGGCTAATACAGCAGAGCAGGAATCTCTGAATATTTCCCACTACACTTTTCTTCCTATTTGTCGTATTTTTGCTTAGGATAAAGATTGTATCCCCCATACTAACAGATCTGTGGGATTTTATCACCACTTTTAAATTGCTGCTTCTTTCTATTTATCCCTTCCATAAAATTTGGGAAGGAAATCTAAAACTGAAATTTGTCTTTCTTTTCAAAATGATAATTAATCTTGCTACAAAAAAACAGAATGTGAGGATGCACATTCCAGTTGTTATTCCACACTTGTGGTAGACTCAGCAAGAACAACCCAGCTTATCTTTAATGGCTTTAATACAGGACAGAAAATCCATGTTTCTCTCCAAAGTGTGACACGTCATCTGGAATGCAGGCTTAATTACCAGAGGTAGAGAAAGTTAGCTGCAGGTTAAACAAATATTATATATATAAGTATATATATATACATATATTCACACATATGTACATACAATGTGCACATCAAAAATGTTCATACCTTTTATGCTGTCAGATATACAGAGATAATGTTTAAAAAGGGTCTTGAATCTCTTTAAACAAGTTCTACATTGTTTTACATTGAAAAACAGCATTTCTCAAATAAGTTAATGTTTTTTTTAAGTTATAAACTTTAAGAATTTTTTTAAGTAAAGGATGCAGAGGGAGACATAACAGAGCCATATGCATGGAGTATGTGTTTCTACATAGTAGAATATTTATAAGAAAACAAGAGAACATGTTCTCTTGTTCGAAGCCCAGGCATAGATTCCGCCAAGTTCTAGGCATGCATTCCAAGTCTCACTTGACCCTTAGGTTGGCCTTTATGTCTGACCTTGCATTTCAGCACCCTCACCAGAGCCCTCAATTGACTACATTTGAAAAGGGGTTCCTCCTAATTACCTGTTTGTTTCAGACAAATGTCTAAAACAGGAGCGTCTCACTGCAGGCCTTCATATCCACTTGAGTGTTTTCTTGACCCTTAACAGCTATTTTATGACGCCTTATCTCCTCTCCAAGCTGAGGCACAGTGTGTTAAAAATTACTTCATAAGAGAAAAGCGTTTTGATTTTGCAGTAATGGTCTGTATTGAGCAAAGTGGGAATGTAAGCATAGATCTTTTCTTGTTTGTAGCTTAGCAATGTTTTCTTTACTCTTCAGAACCCTTCAAAAGTACCACAGAGAACCTAGTCAATTCTTAGTCTCAACGGCCTGAAGTATATGATATGATAACATCTTGTTTGAGGTTGAGAAGGTCTCAAGGTGCTGGTCTTGGGTTACAGAGCTGCTCAAATAAGTGTAGTGATGAAAACACTGTAACTGTTAGCACTGTGGGGTCTGAATGCATTGCAAGACTGAATCGCAGAACCGTTAGACACATGATGAGACCCTCCAGCCACTGTGTTATCATCACTGAAGAGAAAGAAGGACGATCACAGCAATAGTAAGAGGATTAGAGGTCGAAAGTACAGCATTGTTGCCAGATGCTAAATCTCAGATTATCCTTTGAGCCTACTCATCTTTTTAGCCTATCAGAAATATTATTCTGAGCTGGGGCATAGCTCCATTGGCAGAGTGCCAGCCTAGCATGCCAGAGGCCCTGTGTTCAAACTCCAGCACCACATGAACTAGGATGGTGGCACACAGGCCTGCAATCCCAGCACTCTAGGAGTGGGAGCAGGAGGAGCAGAAGTTTCCTGGCCAACCTGAGTTACTTCAGACCCTGTTTCAAAACACTAATTTATATAAATATTTAATATTTCTTTAGAGAATGTTGCAATCTTATCAAGTTTATTTTGAATTTTTTGAGAATAGAAGACAGCAGCAGGTACTAATTTACATGGTGTTTTTTTGATTAAATAGGTACATCATTTTGTTTTACTGGGAGGAAGTGTGAGATTTTTAAAAAGCTGTTGGGTTAAGTAGCTGCATCTTACGATCCCTGTTTTTGTCAATACATCAGCACATACATCATGAGAATAGTCCAGGGTTGGATAGGGTTTGGTATTCAGGCTAAGTGCTTACGTAGCTTTTATTCAGGAGAGGACAAGACTTTACCATTAACAAGGACAGCCTTACTAGGATCAGGAAAGGGGCTTCCTGTTTCCCTCCTATATCACTAGAGGAATAAGATTTCCAGACTTTTCCAGAATTGCAAAAAGTCCTGTTTCCATAAGACTAGTGTTACTTCAGTGTCTGTCCTTGTTGCTGCTTGGGTCTGGTAGTCTTTTACTTGGTATGGAAACTGAGGTAACTATGCTATCATGGCTCTTCTTGCCTTTTTGCTTACCATCAAGTTGGTCAGAATTGGTCTGCTCCTGTCCTCTGTTATGGGGTTGCAGAGTGAAGAAACGGTGAGGGTTTCTAAGACAGTTGTAAACATCGAATGTGTGCACTGGGGCCGAGCGTGATCTCAGAAGTGGTTTCCCTGTTCTTACTGTATCCATGGCTCTTGTATGGAACGTCAGCTCTCCAGAGCCCTGGCTCCCTCTGTGTCCTCAGATACAGCAGTTTAGGAGTAGGGGTTTTGTTTGAAGTTCTAGAGGACACTTACCATCAAATGGGTTTGCATTAGTGTTTGTTCTGCTTCCATCCACATTAGGTCTGGTTCCTCCCAGATACAGTTGCTGAGAATTGTTAAGAAACTGAGCGAGGAGAAGCAGTCTTCTCAGGATCCTCAGTCACCAGACTGACTGATCCCCAGGCTGGACCATAGACTAGCCATGTCACTGGCAAACTCAGCAGCTCCAGAGTCCATGCCACAGTTTTCCTTCATTTTCAGCCACTTGGGGACAGGGAGTCACCTTCTACAGATTAAACAACTTCAGGGACATTCTGCTCTATACCCCTGGGCTTTTTCAAGTGAATTCTCCTTTTTGCCTTAGCAGTAAAAAGTCACCTTCCCACCCCATACCTAGAATACCTTTTAAAATTATTATTAACTTAAAGAACTTACACTTGTTTCTTAAAAGCAAGTAAAATGTTGAAATTTCAAATTTTTTAAGTACACAGTTTTTTATGTTTGAATAATTGTTATCAGTTCTTCTAGAGCACCCTCTTGTCACCAACCCATCTAGGAAAGCTCTGGAGCTTTGAAAGGATGTGGGTGATGGAATTGGCATGAGAGAGAGAGAGCATTTCTTTCGGAAAAGTCCTGAGGAAGACACGTGATCCAGTGAACTTGGTTCCTCAGAAATTCAAAGAAGCAAGTAGAGTTGTATCCCCTGGCTCCTCCTAAGATGTGTATTTGGAAAGGCAGCTCCTGAGACAACCTGTGCATGCCTACAGGCACACACAGCTCTAAGGCATCCCTTAAAAAATGTTTATCCACTTTATAAACTATTAGTTCCCAAACTTCCTTCAGGTTTTGTTTTTGTTTTGTTGTTTTTTAGATTTTATAAAATTATATTCTCTTGAAAATGTACTATATGTGTTATATGTATATATAAGTTAAAGTGACTTGAGCAAGGTGTCATTATTGGTAGCAAAGAGAATATGGAGCAGCAGATGACTGTCACCATCTGAGAGCAGAATACAGAAAGTAGCTTTGGTTCCTCACCAGTTCATGCACAGGTGTTTGAGCAGCAGCCCAGCTAGCCTTGGTCAATGCAGCAAGCCACCCACAAAGAGGTCAGGAGTGCTTTGACCCTGTGTTTCAACACACATTTTAATTTCCTACTCTGTTTTTTTATCAAATTCCTTCATTGTTCCCTAGGAAGTCTTAGAACTGAAAACCAGACTGAACTGTTGGTGTGGTGGCATTTCCATAGCTGTGTTTTAGGGGTCCCCATCCTCTGTGTGTGGTCAAGCATTTGAATATAAATAGCATGGATATGTCATTTTCAAACCCTCAAGGAAATTTTCAACTTCCAGTTCACTAAAAGGTTAAATGCTAATTAACTCTATGACCACTATCCTGCAAAAAAGCTAAAAATAAGTAGTAAAGGTTGAATTTTGACTGGTGCTTAGATATTTCTAGCTATATTAGGGTCAACTCAAGCAGACAGCAGCATTATTACCTGGGTCATACCTGTGAGGAATTTATCTTCCAAATTTGATTTTGTTTTTCATCTCCAGGGCCTTAATAAGAGTGTGTTAATACACATGACTATTTTACAAAGATAGTTCAAAATAATTTATTTTTTATTTCAAGAAAGAAATTCACCTTAGAAAAACAAAACCCAAGATTTTATTTTATTTTTAAAGCCATATTTTTGTGCTTTGTAGCACTTAGATTGTTCCATATGTGATCCATATCTGCATTTCATTACCTGGGTTCTAAAAAAAGATTTATTTTTGTTCTGTGAATAATTTTTGACGGTTCTTGTACATGTACAGATATAGATACGTTTGAGGTCTTTTATTGATATTCCTACAAAAAATACAAATAAACTTTAACTTTAAACATTTTAGACTAAAGTTGCTACTGTATTTACAGTACTGCTTCTATCATACATGCATCTGTGTTGTGTGCTACCTTCTAACTTCTCTGCTAGGCATTTAGGACACTTGGAACACTGGAATATTATTCTGAAGATACATTTTAGCATTAGGAATAGCATGCCTTAAAATTTTACAAGTTTCAGGTAAAATACTTATGAGTAGGATGGACAACCGGCACTGGTGTCAGTTGTGTTATGTTAACGCCCTTGGAAAGAAAACTTCCTCCAACTGTCCTGCGCCTCCATGGTCCTCTCACATTCCCTACACAGCTTGTTCTTAGGGTTTTCTTGTTGGGTTAGGGAGCTGCCTTTGTTTATCATTCTCCAGGTGTGCTATCTTCAGTCTGTCTATCTCAGTCTGTAAAACCCAAGAATGCAGGTTTCACATGTCATTTTCTTCTGTGCGTCCTTCAGGTTATTTCTAATCTTGTGCTTCTAGGAATTCAAAACAAAACAAAACTAAAGACAACCTGAACTACTACTTTAAAAGGAAAGTGAGAATTAGCGGATATTTGCTATTTTTTGTTTACTTCGTAGCCGACCCATTTCAATGTGAATTCCTCGTGACCTAATACAAGCTTTAAGGCTTCTTGGATCTGAAATATTAAAAAGAGAGAAGTAGGGCTAGAGATATCGTTCAGTGGGATCAGTTCCTACCATGGAAAGAAAACGAGAGACGACTGATGCTGCATTATGACCTTAGCTTAGCCCTAAATCACTAACACACATGTTTTGTGCATCCATCCTGTTTCTTTCTTAGCTTTCCTTCATCTGTGTGCATCTTATCAGTAACACCAAATTACTAAGTGCTCCCGATCTTTACTGTGCATCAGACTCATTGGGTAAATTTAAATACACACATAAACATGTATATACATGTATACATTCATACACACATGTGCACACATACACACAGAGATGGATGGCTGCCGCATGAGTTCCATTACTCCATATTGCCCTCTGAACAGTGTGTGTGGTATCTATAACATGTCTTTTATCAGTGGTCCTGAGGTTTGGATGAGTTAGCTGCAGGTATTTTCTTCCTTTATACTTGTAATTTTAAATAAACCCCACACATACCTTGTCATTATCAACTGCATTCCTATTAGTGAGATAGAAACTGTGGCATGCTCATTCCCTAAAGTTCCTTTACCTTTGTTTTGTTTTGGTTTTCTTTTTCATAGCGTGAGAGACCAAACCCAAGGCCTCAGGTCCATCTGACTTAATGGAACAGATACATTCTGACGAAGCTAAGTAAGAGGTGGGACTTACCAGTATAAGCCCAGTTTTCTCACTGGCTCCAGTTTAATGCATAAGATAGATGCTTCTAGTTTAGTATGAAAAGTTTCTATTACTACACCTCCAGAAAGCACATAAAGGCTCATGCCTGGACCAAAGAAAATACCTCTAACCTTAAGCAGTAAACAAAAAATAGAAAACTCAAAATTATTTTCTTACATGTACTTTGCAGGGCCACACAACGCTAGTGGTCTTTCTAGAAACTTGATTCTGTGAAATTCTAAAATGGATTGCCTTTGGGCCTTTGAATAAGTGGCCAAGAGCTGCTAAATAAATGCCAATGTGTCTTCTTATCTGTAAAGTTATGATTTCTGATAGATACATATCTAGGGATGGCTTTAGCCCTTGAGAAATGTTTTATCGGACTATGTTCAGTAATCAGTTTAATTATTGTAGTAATAATAGTAGCTAACATCCAGTACCAACTGAGAGCCAGTTTGCTGAAATTTCATACAGAACATGCAAGCACTTCACCAACTGAGACATCTCCTCAGCCCCAGCTTTAATATATTAGGTTTGACAATACTGCATTGCATTACTGTCACCTGAATCATCAAAATTGAAAAAGTTAGACATCTAACCTCACTCAAAAGTTGATCTTTCATCTCTTCTGGATCCTTCACTGTTGAGATGGTAAAATCTGCTTTCAGGATTCCAAAGGAGTGCTCTGGAAAAGAAAACGTTTCCTGACTTAGAAGAATGTCACCCCTTAAACCTTCCAGTCCTTGGAAGGTAGTGTTACCCTAAGGTAGTAGATACCATAGGTGTGCTATGTGGTGACAGAGGATTTCAAAGAGAAAAAGAGGGAAAGAGCTGAGCCACAACACCACCAGCCAGTACCCCAAAAGAAACCCCTATGTTTTAGGTCAGTATCAGCTCTCTCCCCACAGCCTGGACACCATTTCTCCTGTGATCTCTGTGCCCTTTTTATAAATCTACTGTACAGCTATGCCGGAATGTCACCATCGCTTAGACTCCCAAACCAGAAAACCCTCAAAGAAGTTCTCTGAACTAATAGATAAGTTCAGTCTTTCTGCATGTCAACCATAATGATCATGAGAACTACAGCCTTGTGGTAGGACATGCATTGGCAGAGCTTTTGACTACTTACAGTGCTCCTTTGCCTAAGTACCTTGTACACATGCTCACAGCAGCCCTATGAGATAGGGCCGTCTTTACTGAGTTCCTTTTGAAGATGAGAACAACTACAGAACCGAGGACACTTGCTTCCCTCACTGCACTCACAGTAGTTACACGGCTTACGCTGGAACCCACAGCTTCCTTCCCTTCCCCAATGCCAGCATTTCATGTTATCGTTCCTAAGAAGGCGCCCAGGTATTCTGGGCTTTGAGTGACTGTAGATTTTTAGGCCCTGGGCTGTTAGATAGTGAAGTTAGCAAACAGAAGCTGTTACCTGAGCCTTCTGCTGTTGTTGCTGCTGCTGCCTTTGTAGACTCTGGATGCTTAGGTGAGCTTACATGTTGGCCCTGGGTGGTAGTAGGTGTGTCTCCTATATGTGTACCATGCTCTGTACTGGTCACAGCTACAGGAAAGGAAGAAGAAAGGAGTTACTGCACATGTAGCTGGAAATCAAGGGTGCCTGGATACTGGTACCTGGATATTAGTGCCTGGATACTGGTGCTGGGCTGTGAGCCAGATGACAGGAAAGGCAGCCCTGCTGTGCACAGTTGCTCCTGCCAGTCCTTTACTTGTCTCCCAGGCTCTTATACCATGTCTGGAGTTGCTAGCCCACCATTCAGAAAGTGCTCCAGCATCAGGCTGTGCGAGGCTTGAGCAATAGCATGGGATCCGGCCTCAGTTCCTGATCTGTTCTTTTCAGTAGCACTGAGAAAGCCTGGCACTCTAACATTACCAGGTGAGCTTTCAGCCCCTCCCCACAGTCCCCAAAGCCGCTTTGACATCCCCACCAAGGCAGTACCCCAAACCAAGCTTAACTTCTGGGCATACACTAGGCATTCCAGCCAAAGACCAGGAGTCCTCAGTTGCTGTCACCTTCAGTCCCCAAATGTGTTTCTCCTTCTCTCACAATTGCCAACCTCCAACTATGGATATAATCATATTACTTAGAGATCTACTACTATAATTTAAGAAAGATGCCCCAGCCCTAGGGAAAGCCAACATTAACAGTTTGCTAGAGTATATATTTCACAGATTGAATTTTTTATTTTAAATGCAAAATCTACCTTGTTCTTAAAAAGAATGTGAAGTATTTCATCAAATGTGACGTGACTGACTTAAGCAGTCTGTTGGTAGACCTTAGATCACTTCTCATTTTCAGGACAATAAACAGTGTTGGGGGTCCATGTGTGCCTGTTTGCCTTGTAAGCTTTAGCAGTTTCTAAGTGTAGAATGTCAATAGGAAAGGACATGCCCATTTTGAAACAGACGCACCCTGCCTGCACCAGTTTACAGCCTACAGTATTGGTCATGTCTGTTGGTCTGCATTCTCTTTATTACTGCCTTTAAATCTTTGCCAGACTCTTGTGAGGTGAAGAAATAAATTTTAAAATAAAACTTCTTAGTTTTTAAAGCTGGATTTATTTCTGTGGTTCCATGAACAAAGCTGAAAGTTGTTTAAATGTGTTGATGTTTCTTGACTAGCGTCATTTATGACAACTATCGTCTTCGTGTCCCTCCTCGCTTCACCCTGCCTCAGCTACTCACCCAGCCCGTTCTCTCCTGGTGGGCCTTCTTCTCCACCAGCCCTCTTTTCTTCATCCAAAAGCTTATGTCTTTCTTTAGTAAGTGAAGAAACTGGTAAAACTCGGAAACACAGAAGTGGGGGGGGGGGGGGCGTAAGCAGCTTTGTAAATTTCATCCTGATTGTTTTTAACCCTCACTGCTTCTCTCGCTGTTAAGACTTGTTACACATATACTGAATTCTGCTGTTTTCTTTTAGCATCCGAATGCAGTGGCCCCATGTCACTGTGGCCACCTGTAGTAACTACAGACCCGAGCACCTGCTCATTTCCGAAACCTGGTGGTCCTGTTGACTGCGGGTTGGAGTCCTTCAGAATTTGGCAGCTGTCCCTCTTTTTCCTCGTCCCTGTTACTCCTTTCTTCAAAATGTAACCTGTGTACTAACCACAGACCACTTGGCAATCCCAGACAAACTTAACACTTTGACATGTCTGTCTTAGCCCTTGTCTTTCAGCAAGGAAGAACTTCCAGATACCACCGCCATGATACTCATTACACCTTTGTCCAGAGAGCGCGTCACTTTCTGCTCTTGCTTCGTCCTTCACATACTCACAGGCCGCCCCAGTTGTCTGATTCTGTTCCTACAGGATTGCCTTTGTCTGAAAGCAAGGTCTGCTCACCTGCTTGAGCCACACAGTATCCAGAGTTCAAGTCTGGTACTCGAAAGACAGGGCTCAAAGCAAGGAGAAAAGGAAATGCAACAACCTCTATCTGGAAGAGTCTGCAATACTCACAATTGATTGTTTATCATCTGTTATGTGTTACATGAGCATGAGCCTTGCATATCTACCAAGGTAAAGACACTCAATGTCACTAGTGAGTTGAGATTAAGATGGTAATAACTACATTTATCATCTGCCAGAATCAGGAACTGAGAGTTAGGAAATCACACTGATGTATTCTTGGTTTTAGACATAAGAAAAAACAGATTCAATGAGGTTAAAGTTAGGGAGACAGATGTGGTAGTTCATTTCTGCGATTCCAGTAGTTTAGAGATTGAGACAGAAGGATTGCAGTGTATTGGAGGGCAGCCTGAACTACAAAGTGAGACCTGTTTTTGAAAGAGAAGGGGAGCCAAGAGGGAGGGAGGTAGGAAAAAATTGTCTAAGCCTGTGCACAATAAATTACAGAGCCAGTATTCCCATCTTGACTGACAGACTTCAGCTCTTAAAGGTGGATTCTAAATCTTCCTCCCTTACTCCATCGCTGTTCTACCTGGTTAAGGGAGGATGGTCTTATGAGCTGGTGCTAGCCAGACAGAATTCCCTGTGGAGAGGCTTACAGTGCTTCCCTGCCTAGCCATGTGACTCTTGCACCCAACTCTCAGTGTAGACTCTGCAGCTTGGTGTCTAGCTGCTGATGCCCCAGAGGAACTTGTAGGCGGGGGTGTCTGGCCTCAGTGAGGTACACAAGCACCTGCTGTAGTTCCTGGCAGACACCCAGCTGTCTCAAGTGCTGGCAAACTGGCTCAGGCTGCAGATGCATGGGGCCTGTCTCTTTGAATCTCTACTAAGCTCCCTGAGACAGATGCCTCCATAGCTCTTTAATCTCTGCAAAGCTCCACAGAGCCCCTGAACTGCAGGGCTAACTGAATGAGGAGGAGTCAGAGAATATTGCCAACGTGGGAATAGCCAGGGCCTTGTGGTTACCTCTCCTGTAGTCATGAGCCTACTCTGGTTCTAGGGACCCCTGATGCATAGGTTCTGCAGTGTCACTGGGGGCCTAGGCCACTTCCTGTTGAACTGATTCACTCCCTGTATGGGCTAGTGTCAGGGTGCAAAATCCAAAGATAAACATTGAGCCCTGGGCCCCTTCCCCAAGAACTGAAATACTCTCTGGGGATATGAGATCCCAGGATGTGGTTCTAACAGTGACCAGTGATACCGTGGACTTTTCTTCCAGAACTAAGTTACTTCCCAAGGTCCAAGGACAAGCCCTGAGAAGTTAGCAGTGGTATGCTGGGCCCTTCTCCTAGATCCAAACTGCTTCCTGGGTGCTCAGGGTCCAAAGACAAGCTCTGAACAGTAACCAGTGGGCTGTGAGCCCTTCTCAAACCAAGGTACCTCCTGAAGGCGTCGGGGTTGCCAGAGGACTTATTGAGACCGTCCCTTGAGAATGGAAAGCTGTAAGGCCCATGGTGGTGGGGGCAGGAGTGGTCGTATCACAGGTGCCAGAGCTGACGTCAGTTGGTTGTTGAGTCGCTTGCGAACTCATCCAGATTGCTGGAACCATCTCTTGGGAGGCAACTGTGGGGCCAGTGCTGGTCCCTGTGGCAAGAGACAAGACTTATGTGAGGTGCGCTGGGCACAGAACCTTTTTCAAGGCCATAGCCCCAGGTCAGGAACTCCCAGTAGTTTCAGTGGGGCAGATCAGAGAGAATATAACAGCTTCAGGCCCCAGTTTTCTGCCACACATAGTGGTATTCATCCACTGAAAACAGAGTTGTCAGAAAGGGCCTTCTGAACCTATTTGGACCAACCCAAGTAAGCAGTGGGCTGAAACAACTAGGTGGATGCCTTAACAGTGAAACAAGGCAGTTTCTCAGCCCAGATTCTTAGCTGAAAGAATCCATGCCTTCCCCAGTGATAACACCTCCACACAAACACCCTGCCATTCCTCTTTCCTACCATCCCCTACCCAGCCACCTGCCAACCTCATTTTTCTGAAGTCACTCCACCAAAAGTTCTTCTGCAGTTACAGTGACTGGATAGCTCCTGCTCTGTGTCCCCGGCATGCTTCAGACTATACTAAACACCAAGCTTTGCCTGGCTGGCTGTGAGCGCCAACAGAATGAGCTCTGAGGTTTTTTTGATTGTATCTGTCTCCATTGTTGGGTCTTGATCAACTGCCATAACTTAAAACCACATCACAAAACCCTACAGCCCATGACTCTCCCAGCAGAGGAGCATGCTCGGACTGGTGGGTCTCCTTTGTTTTGCTTCCTTTCTCTGGGTGCTGAACCTCTAAGGACTCTCTGGTGACTTCCCAAGGAGTACTACTCAGCCATCTGTCCTTTTGTGTCCCAGGCCTTTATTTCAGCCTCTCCTGGCCCTCCTGGCCTCTAGAACTTCAAACTCAGAAGCCAACAAAGAAGGATGTTTGTGGGAAACCAATTCCTCATTTTCCTACCCTCACTGTTGGCCAAGCAGTATGAGAAGGAGCAGAGATGCTCATTGGTGTAGTTGTGACTGAGTGCACACCACTGGCATACCTCTTCTCTGTTTGCTCATTGGCACCTCAGGGAAGGCCACTCATGGGCTCCGCCCTGGGTTGCTCTGTTTAAACCAACCATTTTCTCTAGTTTCCTAGGCCCAGAAGAGCTCAGATACAGCTGAGAACAGATGCAGAGTACCTGTGTTTAGCCTAGGGGTCGTCCTTGCAGTAACTTCTGAGGGGTGAGTCACTTTGGGGGAGGACGTAGCAGTGAGTAGAGGCATCTCTGCCAACTTCCGATGGCCCATGGAGGGGTCTGTGGGAAAACAATGAGTGTAAGGGCAATCTCTGTCACACCAACCCTGTGAAAAGTCAATAGATCCTGCCAGTCAGCCTCATCCCAGCAAACAAACCAGGGGGTCCAGTTCCTACTGCACACTGTACAAATCACTGGGATAGGTCCTCTCACCCTGAATCTTCACAGCAGCTCATCAAGGAATACCTAGTTCACAGACAGGAGCCAAGATTGTCTTCAAATCCAAAACAAAAAGAAACAGCCACAAATAGGCAAGTCCACAGAGACATAAAGTCTATTTGGGTTGCCAAGGGGAAAGTCGGGTGTGACTGTAAGTATGGGCTTTGGACAGTGATGACAATGTCATTAAATTGGCCAGAGGCAATGGCTGAGCATGCATGCAAATGTAAAAAAACCACTGAATTGTGTACTTCAAAGGTTAAGATATGTGGGTTCTCAGCAATAGAAATACAGCAAAAGGAGGGAGACTGAAAGCAAAGAATAAGGTAGGAGGCACGTTATATACAAGATCCAGAATGCCCCTGCTGCCCTCAAATTCATAGTGACCAGAGCTGCTATTAGCAGGCACTTGCTCTATGTCAAGATCTTCGCTCTCATTCAGCCTTCAGCTATGGGGTGATTTCCCCAGTCTTGATTTGTAAAGTATGCTTTCCAGATAAGAAGAGGGGACTAGACTCTGCCCATCTTCTAGGAAGCAGTGAAGTCTATCTGATTCTAAATCATGGGCGGCTCATGGTTATTTGATTAATTGTTGTTGCTCATTGCTAATGTAATAAGGCTGGATGGGGTTCATTCATTCCATCCTCTGAAGATCCCCAGGATTTAAATACTACAACTCTTTTATAAGGTGTTTTTTTGTTTTGTTTTGTTTTTTGTTGTTGTTTTTTGTTTTAATTCAAATCAAAGCCTGTTGTAGAATTCTGTTGCCCTCAGAGCCTCCAGGTGCTTCCTTAGGTCTCTCCTGAGTTTTCCCCACTGTTTAATGAACACATTTTAACCTCAGTGATCCACGTGGGCTCTCACATACCACAGAAACAGATAAAAGGTTTCTGCTCATGGCAAAGTAGTGCATAAATCTCAGGGGGGCCGTTTGAAAAGATACGGAGTCCTGCACACAGTCCTTGACCAAACAAAGGTATTTTCTGAAGCCACTCGGGAATGCTAGACCCCAAGTCGCTGGACCAGGTGAGATTGTTGATCTTTGCACTGAAGTAGAGGCCAATCCAGGCATCGACATTGCTTGTGATGGACTGGAGGATTTGTTTGTCCTTCTCGTTGGTCACTCTCTGCAGATCGGCCAGGTCTGTGTAGTGGTTGCGGCAGTAGGTCAGAGCTGAGGGCCACGACATGGCTTGTTTAATCCGAATGAAGGTCCATCCACCAATCTCGACCTCAGCTGGAAGCAAAGCATATAGAGACCACAGGCCTGAGATCCAGGGTGTCTGACAACCCAGCTTTCATTGCCTAAGGAAAGAAGTGGTTTGACCTGGATCTTCAGGTTTTAGATTTGGTCAAAAACACTGTTTTATAGAGAAACTACCAAGTTGAAGAATGAGTGAGATATCATAGTGGCAACAGCTGGTGTGGAGGGTTCACTAAGGAAAGGGCTCTTCTTACAGATGTGTAATCTTAAAAGGTAAGTTTAAGTTTCAATTGCTTCATCTGTCCACTAGAAATAATTATACTAAGGTCAAAATTACATAAACCACTTATTAGCACTTAATCAAATGGTAGGCACTATTTGGGAAATAGTAGATCATTCCAATGATGGAAGTAAGACAGTCTTGGTTTAGAGTTAGCCTCATTTCTTCATTTGTGATCCAACACACGTGGGGGGGGGGGTGGAGAGAGATCTTGGAGCCAACCACATCCGCTCAGATCTATCTGGTGGGCAGGAAGCAGAGCAGGCAGTGCCCAGCAGATCTGCTCCTCGTGCACTCAGATACCTACCTTCTTCAGACTGGGCTGCTTCAGGTCTCAGAGGCACCCCCTCACACACACACACACACACACACACACACACACACACACACACACACACCAGAGGCCCATTCAGGGCCATGCCTCTCTGATTCCTAACAATGGAAGTTTTGGAAAGGATGTGAGGCACTGCAGTTCTACCTGCATTGGTCCTGGAGGTTTGGATAAAGAAAAGACTGTTTGCAGAGTCTGGAGTCATATCCTCCCATTCAAACCAGAGCCCCTCCCTACTCTCTGCCATGCACCTGCTCACCTCAGTCCATTAAGATATGCCTGTTTCCCTAGCTAAATGGGTTTTTGCATATTTAATTATTGTGTATATGCACACGTGTGCACTTGTCTGTGACACAGTGCACATGTGAAGATCAGAAGATAACTTGCAGAAATCAGTCCTCTCTTCATTGTGTGTGTCCCAGGGCTTGAACTCAGGTGATTGGGCTTGGCAGCAAGCACCTTTACCCACTGACTGTGTTGTGTTATCTTACCAGCCCCAAAACTAATCTTTTAAAATTATTCTATATTATGCCCCCTAATGTGTGCCAGCTTTGACATGTACCTTTGGCCTACATCACTTTGTATCCTGAAAAAACTATTATTAATCTTATTTTATAGTTTGGGAAAGGAGTTTGCTAGTCCAGCCCAAACTCAGTGTCAGAATGAGACTAAAGCATAGGTCTGCTTGCCTTGGAAGTCTTTGCCATTTCGCTCTATGTTCTATAACACCCAGAGCATGAACCCTAAACATAGATGGATTGACTGTTCCTTTTCCCATAGAATTTTTCTATATCAGGTAAGAAGAAACTTTCCTTTTTTTATTTTTTTATTTTTTGAAACTTTCCTTTTAAACACCAGCGCAGTGTTGTCCAAAGGGCAGGGATCTTGAGAGAAATACCCCTCTCCAGACGGAGAGCAAGGACCTGAGTTGTGAAGAGGTCCTCCCCACTCACCCCCAACCCCTGACTCCCTGAGGAAGACTAAGTGGCATGGATGCAACTGGTTACACTACTGTGAGTCCTGGAGTCCCCTTCCCCTCCGTGCTCTTCAGACATTGCACCCACCAGTCCCCAGGTTTCAATCTGGGCACCCCAAAGACAGACGTTAGGTCACATAGGAGACGGGAACAGAGGGAACCATAGTGATCTGCATCCTGCGTGCTGGTCCAGGGAGGTAACTCCAAGCCAAAATAAATCAAGACCCCAGAAAAGGGCAGACAAAGCCACGTATGTTACCTTCTGTTGCAAGAGTAGTCACTAAGGACATGTGGTGTCCTTCAGCAGGGTCTGTAAAACAGAAGCAAATTTCAAATTATGGGTTAGGGGGTGAGAACTGTCCAGGAACCACCAGGTTGGAGCCAAAAGAAGCCGAGTTCTAAGGTGAGTTGGCCCATTCCATACTTATTTAGTGCATATAGATAAAGCAACTACTGTATGACTGGTGCAGTTCCCTAGGAAAGTACTAGAAACAACACAAGCAGAGCCTTTGCTTTTTAGGGGAGAATGAGAAGGAACCACCTAGTCCCAACAGCGTGAGGACAATGGTCACTATCCCAGTGAAGAAAAGAGTTGTGCGGACCAGGGAACAGAAATAAGTCAATACACCACAGCTAGAGAGAGGGCTGAGCACTGAGGCCAAGAAGAACCGACAGGGCATGATTGTCTATGAAAAGGATGGCATTCTAAGGGCTTTGAAGATCTGCTGAGTATGCTGTAAGGAAGTTATCCGATGTCTGCTAAAACTCACTGTTCGGACAACAGACGGTAGTGGTCACAGGGTAGACCCATGGAACTGACTGGTAATTTGGCCCATGCACTCCCAATGAACCTGCAGAACTGGGGAGAACTGAGTGATGTCAGGGAATGCTGTAGTTGAGTTCTAAGAATAAAGGAAGCAGGAAGAAATCCATCATATACACAGCTCTAATGTTTGCAGGCGTTCCTACTAAACCCACTGGCCATCCCTAGAAATCTTTCTATCCCCTTGGAACCTAGAGTTAAAACCAAGGCCATTGTGGGCTTCTGTTTCTGGGCTTCACAGAAGCATGGTGTGTTTATGCCTTAGAGAAATGAATGGCCTCCATGCCAGTATCTGGGCAATCAGGGTGGCATAGAATTGTGCTGAGCCTTGACTGGCCAAAAAAGGCAGAAGATGGCACTTTTAGCAGGAAATCACAGTCCCATCCACAACCACACTTCCATGTGACCTCTTAGCACCAACAAGACAAAGATGAGGACAATGGAAGTAGTGGTGTGGCCTCCAGGAGGTCAGACGGCACAGAGGAACACATAGTTTGGGTGTTCCCCAGCAGCCAGCGCCATGTCCCCAGCAATAATGTCTGGAGTTGGTCCTACCCACTACTTTGGGCAATAGGTCTCATGGGGGTGAATGTTCTGCCCTCTGCCAACCCCAGGAAGACAACAGACTGTACCCTGTACTTCATGGTGCGAGACCTTGAATTCTACTCCCATTTCTGCATGGGTGATGAACCCTCCAACCTGTCTCTCCTCTTCCTTCCTTTCTCAAAGCTTTAACTAAGATAGAAGAGATGTCATGGAACATTCCCGATGTTATTTCCTCTATTAACACACAGTTTTTTGGTGTGCTCTGGGGAAAAGAGTACAGAAAGACCACAAGCTAAGGTCACAGAGAGGCAATAATGCTCCGAAGAGGGTGAGGAAGCATCCGGTTACTCTCGTAACCCTAGACACACACACTCTTCTCTTCCTTTCCCCCTCACCAAAACAATCTTGGGAAAGAACAGGCCCAGAATATTAATCTGAACACACCATAATAGCAAATGAAGGGCTTCTGAGTTGCGCAGGAGGCAGCCCCCAGGGCAGGAACCATGGCCCATGAATACAGAGTAGCACAGAGGCCATCCCGGAAGACAGGCAGCGCACTCCACTTTGGGGTGGTAAAGACAGAGCCACTGGACCAGCTCAGGCCAGAGATGTGCACATCGTAGAAGAGGCCAATCCGTGCCTGGGTACTGCTGGTGTAGGAGTAGACCACCATGATGTTCACTGGGCTGTTAACGCTCTGCAGGTCAGCGAGGTCTGTGTAATGCTCCTGGCAGTACCACATGGCCTCTTTCCAGGTCCGCGGCTCCTCCACCCGATAGAAGGTCTTGCTGTTGCTTACCAGCTGGAAGGCTGGGGCAGGAGAAGCTATCACTACATGACTACCCCTCACTTCACCCTTGTCCCCAAGAGATTTCAGCCATACCATGGTAGACCACTCCTTTTCTGGCGTACCCCTCACCTCTGACCTCCACTCATACCCAGCGCTGCCTCTGGACTGTCCCACCCACGAGCTACTGTCTTGGTTCAGAAGGACTGGCCATGCTAGCTTCCTGTTCTTTCATTCTTTTGCCTTCTTTCCTTTGCCTGGTGGTTCACAGTAACTATCAGTCTTTACTGCGCATGTGTGATATGCCATTTAGCTCACTGAATTTTTCTGAGGACTACTCAAGATTTCATCATACCTGTTTTACAGATAAGGACTCCAAGACACAGGGAGTGGAATAGATGATTAAGGCCACTAAGCGGGAAGTAGAGAGAGCCAAGACTCCAGAACATAGTGTGTGGTTCCCAGGCCCAAGCCTTTAATCGTAGCATAGCACTATGTCTACAAAAGGAAGTCTGATGGGGATTATACATTAGGATGGCCCAGAGAGTTCAGGTGTGCTCCAACACGGAGCAGGAACATGCTTGCTGGGACCAACATCAGAATTCTCCAGATGCATCCAGGGAAAGGGCTTGCTCTGCTTGTGTGTCTCCACCAGATCTAGGCAGCTTGGGAGGCAGGGCTTGTTTTACTCGCTGCTGTATCCTCAGCCCTCGCCTCGGTTTACCAAAAGCGCTCCGTGTGTTAAAGGAAGGCGGGGAGATAGAGACAGGTGAGAGGCAGGAACCCACCCAAACTCTGATATCTCAGTGTTTACCCCTTCTTTCCCTCCCCGGCTCCAACCATTTTCCAGGGTCTAGCAAAGGAGGAGCTGGTCCGAGGCTCTCCACCCTGGTGCCGGGGCAGAGCAGTGGGGAGGGAAAGGTTTGCTGTTGAGGTTTTAGGGGGTCCATAGAAAACCAGCCTCAAGCCTGGATACTGAGGGCCAAGCATGCAAGACACTGCAGGGAAGGAGGGAGGACGGATACTTGCCAGAAAGAATGACGTTGTTGCACCCACCAGAGCTGATGAAGCTGTCTGTCACTGAGAACAGCTGGAGAATCCCTGTGCCCAAGAAAGAATGGGGGGAAACACCTTTTTTTTTTCCTATTCACTTTGACTGAATATATGATTCACTTTGATTCTTTTAAATGCTACCTTATTTAACTTTTAAAGCTCTCTTGCTGTGGCCCACTAGATTGGTTTCAGGAGCTAATGGATCACACCCAACAGTTTGGGGGGAAAAAACCTGTCAGTCCTCTGGAACCCACAAGCCCAGGACTCAGGTATCTACGGTACTCCATCCTTGAGCTGAGACCCTGGACTCACAATTGGGCCATCCCGTTCTAGTCCCTGGAATTCAATCTCACGGCAATGTCAACTACAGCAAGCCTTCTGGAACTCTCCACCTGTAACTGTGCCCTCTGAGCCCCCTGCCACTTGGGCCCAGATGGTCACCCTTTGCAGGTGCTGTGGGTCACCCAGCTTCCAGCTGGGGTGCTCCACATTTTGTGCTCAGTGACGGGGTTCTACATGGGGGCCACCATGATACTCTCATGGTTCCAGTCCCATGCTCAGTGAGGGGTCCTTCTAAGAGGGTCATGTGCCATTCCTTGCTTGGCCCTGGCCTGAGCCCAAGAAGCAAACCCTGCCTGCATGATGCACCAGCCGCTGGCTGCAGGGACCTGGTCAGCTTCCTCTTGTACTTTCCCACTCAATCCATGCCTTCCCTCCTCAGAGCCACCCAAAGACCCTCGAGGTGCCTCTCCCCAGGAGCTGCCCACTGGACATGATGCCCTGGCCATAGTTCTCTGCGATGGAAGCTTGTGGAGGTGGGGAAGGGCATCTCCCTCCCCAACCTTAAAATGATGGCTTAAAAAAATCATTTATGTCTTTCCACTTTGTCTCCCAACCAACCTAGAAGTCTGAGGGCCTCTGGGGGTATATGGGGAGCAGCGTACCCTCTTCCGGGCCCAGGTGGGGTCTTACCTGTCATGCAGAAGGAGAGCAGCAGCCATGCAGGCAGCATGATGGTGGCCTGGCAAAAGCCCCTGCAGCTGACGGCCTTCTGGACAGCTGAGCCTCGTGTGCTCACTTCTTTCTTGCTCTCTTCTCTTTCCTACCAAACTGGCAGATTTTCCTAAGCAAATACCGAGTGCCTGCTGTTTGCCAGGATAGCCTGAATAAAGATGGAAACATCCTTGTCCTAAACTCAGGCAAAAGCACCATGGAGCCTGCAACTCATAAGCAGAGCGACAAGAGGGGAACCATCCTGGGGACTAACTGCCAGGAGAGGGAAGTAGTAGAACGATGGAGAGGCAGGAAGTCTAGGATCTGAGTCCCAGCACAGCACAGCACAGACTGGAGACAGAGGCACTTGCGCTGAGAATCACAGCCACTTGCTTGTGTTCTGTCTGCCCCACACCACCCCGTTATCCCCAGATTTCTCTCTGTCCCACCAAAGGCCAAGTTTTTTTGTTGTTTTTTTTGTTTGTTTGTTTGTTTTTAAATAAAGCCTGGAAGAGACCCCTTTCTGTGCCCTCTTTTGTAAAAAAAGAAGCATAAGCAGATGGGTGAATGGACAAAAAGAAAGTGCATGCAGATGGTCAAAGCTTCAGCAATGACGGCTGCCTCGGGGTGCTTCCTTGGCGATGGATTCCTTGGCGATGGCCTTCCGTGACTGCATCCCAGTGGTAGAACCAACTAGTGTCGGGGTATCTTTGGACCATTCTCTAATGAGAGGACACCTTGACCATCTTGGTCTGGAAAACACTTGTCCTACTGCTTTCCTTTTAATTGTGCCATCCGCAAAGGCTTCTGGTCTACCTGCCTTCAATGAAGACAGGTTGCTCACGTCCAGAAAGAAGTGAAGTGAGGGTGTAAGGGCCTCCACAGCATGTCCCAGGGACAGCAAGTGGCACTCCAGGTGACAATTTAGCATGTCTTCTTTTTCCTTTAGCCCCTTGCTCCTTGAGAATAGGGACTGAGCCCAGTTTACAGAACACTCATCCTGGATTTGAGACTCCATCTGCAAAGACTTGCAAGGCCAACCAAGAAGGCACTGGGCACCATGACTCCAGGCTGTCACTCCCTCCTTAGGGGTCGATGAAAGTCACTCCTTAACAGCAACAGCCCAGTGTGTCTCTTTCTGTCTGAGCCGCCCCTCTCCAAAAGTAAGCCACGCCCCACTGCCTAGCCTAGCCCAATCTGCTCTAGCTAAGTTGTGCGATCAGGTTGAGGAACAGACACGAGGGAAGCAGGCCTAGGGCCACAGCTGGAGGGGGCTGAGGCTCAGTGCCCGGGGTTCAGGGGTTCACACTCTTGAGAGGAGGTATGAGGAAGAGCTCAGGAGAAGGGTGAGAGGGCCCGGCTGTGCCTGAGGCCTCGTCAAAGGAATCTGGAAAACAGAACTGTTCTCTTAGAGGATAAATGTTGCATGAATTCTTCTAGAGAGATATAAACAACTCTTTGCCGCAGATGGGACACCGACAACAGACTAAGGGATTATTCCACTCAAGTCTGGCTTGGGAAACAGTGAGTCTGTTGGGGCTACCTACTTCATTCTTGGTGACTCAAAGGCAACTGCATCACCGAAAATCTCCCCCAGCATAGGGGCTTGTCTTGATCGCTAACTGATACAGAGAGTACAGCCCACTGTAGGTAGTATACGTAGGCAGGTGGTTCTGAGCTGTGGTAAGAAAGCTAACAACATAAACCCACCTGGCAGCAAACGGCATCTTACACAGTTCCTGCCACATGTCTTTGGCTGCGAAGTGAGTTTCCTGGTGGAGGTAATGTTGTGTGGGATTACAATCAGGGCTACTTTTGGGTTTCTGCCTTGAGTTCCCTCAGTGACAACCTGTGACCTGGAACCATAAGCCAAGCAATCCCTTTCCTCCTCCCCGGGTTGCTTTTTGTATCTTGATTACTCTTCTAGTGCTATGATAAAGCATCATAGCCAAGGAAACTTATAAAAAGCATTTAATTTGGAGGCTCATGGTTCCAGAGGGTTAGAGTTCCTGACCGCCATGGCAGGGAGCATGGCAGCAGACAGGACAACACAGTACTGGAGCAGTAGCTGAAAGCTTAATGTTGAGACAACAAATGAGAGAGAGAGAGAGAGAGAGAGAGAGAGAGAGAGAGCACTAACTGGACCTGGTGTAGACTTTTGGCACCATCAAGCCCATCCCCGGTGATACATTTCCTCCAACAAGGCCACGCCTTCTAATCTTTCCCAAACAGTTCCACCAATTAGAGACCAAATATTGAAGCACATGAGCCTATGGGGGCCATTCTCATTCAAACCACCACACTTCAGGTTGGAGTATATTTTTCATCACAGAAACCGAAATGAAACTAAAACAGTCACCGGACAGAAATCGGCAGCTTCCATAGGAAGTGCCTCTGTGGGTCCTGCATTTGCAGGATTTACCAAGGCTCTACAGTTAGCAGGTGCATGCAAGTGCACACCCTCGGCTGGTTTGACTTTTGGGAGGGCAGCAGCAGAAACTGGAGTTCCAGCAATGGTCAGACTTACTGGGGAGAGCTGCTGACTCAGCTCCCTCTGAGGCTGAGAGCGGCACCTGCTCTCCATGTGCTCCAGTGTCAGGAAAGTCCATTCCTGGTGGGACTGGGGCCCTAGCAGATGCCAAATTCATTTCCAGCTCATCAAAGTGGAATTGGATGTATGATTTTTTTGGCTCCATTAAGTCTGATCTACATCAGAGCGGCAACATATTTTGGCATTAAGTACAAATGAAATTTGGAATCTATTGAAGTCAAGCTCCAGAAAACCAGACAGCCTCTTTGTGAGCCCACGCTCCCTGCCAAGAGAAGAAAAACCCCACCGCCTGCACGGAGCTCAATCACATAACAAGGAGCAAGCTTGGTCGGAAACACCTATTTCACTCAGACTCCCATTTACAGCTTGGGGACCCGGAGAGCCTCCTGGCTGACAATATTTGTGCTGGCACCTGATCTCTCTCCTTCTTCTCGTTCTTCCCTTGGCCCTCTCTACAGTGGCACTTAGGATTTGCCATTAGGTCCTCTGTATGGAGTCACAAGCAAACGTTAACTCAGCTCTCGTGACTCTGCCCCAGCTTTAAGAAAGATGTTCTCCATCCCAGCCCAGGTCCCAGAACCCCCACTAAGGGAATAAAACTCAGTCTTCTAGACTATTCTTCACACCCACTCAGCCTTGAGATGCTAAGGACTTAATGACAGATGTCAATGTGAGCAGGGGTATCAAAGGCTGCTACCAGGACAAAACCTTGAACCCTCCCACCTAGGGTCTTCAATGAGCTACCACATGAGACACAGTCCCTTAAAGCCCAGTCCAAAGATTCTGTGGTTCCCACTCACTTCTGTTATTTCAGTGACAAATGGGAATTTGAAACTGTCACGGATTGAGAGGAAGCAGCGACAAGGACAGCAACTGTGAGCCTTCTAGGAAGGGGCTGGATTGGAAGGACAGAAATGCATGTCACATTCGACTTGGATCCTATCCCAAGACAGAACATTAAGTCAGGAGGCCCCCGGAGTCACACTGGCAGGGAGAGCTCCAGTGGCTGGTGACTCTTTGGTTGTCCTTCATCGTAGGCTGTTCTGTTGTGATTGTTTGTGGAGGAGTGTTGGTTCCCTTGGGGTCTGGAAGACCTGGCAAACATCCTTGGCCCAGTGAATGCAAAAATGAGGAAAAGGCGGCAATCCCCAAGGACACCTTCACGGGGATTTTCCACTCCCCCTCAGCTGTACGGAAAGACCTGGGGCTTTACAACCATTTGGGCACACCACGCTTATTCCTAAAACAGAGGAACCCATTCAGATAGCATCAACAGACTTAGTAATTTTTTTCCCTCAGAAACAATGTGAGCAGACTATAGCTGTAGCTGTTCTGGTATACTATTTAAAGGAAAGATCAAAAGTTGCATAGTAACCCAAGGGTCAGTGATGAAAGACAATTTCACGCTGCACAGGGTAGAGCTCTCAAGGGTGTCTGTAAGTCAAAGAAGGACAACACAGGAATCAGCCCTATGTAATCTCTAACAAATGTACATCAGGAGGTCCCTACGATGGGAACCACAGTCTCTCTAGCCCAGGGGAGCCACCAAATACAGCAGGGCATCAAGATGTGGATGCTGAATGGGTCACTTCGGTGCTGAATGGAGACCATAGCCAGGATCCTGAGAATGTTTATGAAATGCTCCATCCTCGTTGACAAGCTTTAGAATATCTGTAGTCAAACAGACCCCTGGGCACACAGGACACTCTCTCTCATTCTCTGGGCTCTGGGTAGATAATGGCTGAAGTCTGACACTAGAATATACAGTCCTGGAGTCATAAGAGACCAAATTCAGAGTCTTACAGCCATTTTAAGTGTCCCTATTGAGCCTCTGCCCACAACATTATCTCCGTGAAACAAAAGCAGCCTGGGAGCTTCAAAATTACACCGACTTGGAGAAAAGATGCTACTGGCGTGTCTTCCTCGCTGTTCTGAACACTCTGCTGTCCCCCAGTCCTGGTGGAGCATGGGTGAGGGTGGGGCTTATCATCCTGTCCTGGTACAGGGGGCCTTGTTCTAAAGGGGTGCTGGGGAAGAGCTCCTGGTATCCCTCGGGTCAGGACAGCCTACAGGAGGCCCAAGTTACAACAGTGACGTCCAGCAGTGAAACCCTGCCTCAACTTCATCTTTCATAGCTATAAGATATCAGTATGTCCAGGTGTGGTGTCTTTTGGCCGTAGTCCCAGAGTTTGAGAGGCTGAGACCTGAGAACTGCCGTGAATGAGTTCAAGGTCGAGCTGGTCTACATAGTTCTGATTGTTTGAATGAGAAATGGCCCAAATAGTCTTAGGAATTTGAATACTTGGTCCCTAGTGGTTGGCGCTGTTTGGGGAGATTTGGGTGTGCAGCCTTGTTGGAGGAAGTACGCGGGCTTTGAGATTAAAAGCCTCTACCACTTCCGTTTCACCTACTTCCCTTCTTTATGTTTGCATTTGAAGATGTGAGCTCTCGGCTTCCTGCTCTAGCTGCCATGCCTTCCCACTGTGGCGGACTCATTCTGAAACTGTAAGCCCAAATAAACTCTTCCAAAGTTGCTCTTGGGAGTAGTGTCTTATCACAGCAACAGAAAGGTAAAATAGCGAAGTCCAGGTCAGTTTGGGCTACAAAATGAGACTCTGCCAAATAAATAAATAATAAAAATAATGAGGAGGAGGAAGAGGAGAAAGTGAAGAAGGGAGAGGAAACTAATTTATTTAGGTTTATAAACTGGTTCCCCAGCTCTTCGAGGATACACTAGTAACAATGGTGTGTTTGGGTGCACCGTAAGAAAGTAAAAAGCACAGCATTGTGTGTGTGTGTGGGGGGGGGGGAGTTGGCTTGTTTTTCACTATAAATCCCGTTCCTACTGAGGGTGATTATTTCCTGTCTACTTGTTTGACATCTAGTCCAGTATGCCCACATGTGTGCTTGGCTAGGAGGCAGCCATGTAATGTCTGCCCTGCTGAGCATTACTTGCAGCGTTCGGAGGCTCTCAGGCCTGGAAGAGAAGACGTGTCCACTGTTACAGGCTTTGAAACTGGTCAGCTGGAGCCAGGGTTCTTTCATTTACATGTGGGGAAATGAGGTCTGGACAGCTCAGCCCCACACCCCTCCCCTTGCCTGGACCAGCGAGAAGCATAATGTTCTCCTTTGGTAGAGGGGAGCGAGATCCAAGGCTTTCCTTGGGGAAGGGGCGGGATTGGAAATTGCCACCTAGGAGGTGTAGCTACAATGGCTGCAGGTGGCTCTTGAGGAAACTGACCCAGGAAGGACCCAGCAGCTGCACAAAGAAGAACAGGTGGGTATGTGTGAGGTACCTGGTGTGGGCATAATCCACACATATCCTGGTTACTTCCCGTACTACTGGACTACCTATCCTCAGAATGCTCAAGCTGGCTTTTTCTGTGCCAGCTAGTAGCCCTTGAGACCAGAGGAGGAGGACATGGAATCCCCACAGAGGAGGAGAGAAATCAGGTTCCCCAACTCAGATTCTGAGTCATGTTAAGCCCCAGGAGAAGCCATGTGCCTCCAGGTCGCCATGTTAAACAAACACAAATAACAGTTAACCTCAGAATTACCTCTTGCATTACACTCACACACACACACACACACACACACACACACACACACACACGAATCTTCTTGTCTTAAGAACAATTCAGTATTCCTTCTTGTCCCAACCCTCCTCTGGTGAGATAAAAAAGCCAAGAAAAGAGATGGCGTAGAGGTGGATATGGGGGTATTAGTGAAGCAATGAGTGCCAGCAAGAAGCCAGCCATCTGGGACAGATTCTCCTGGTCAGTGGGTGAGGCCTCCTGCATCAGGAGCGAAGGCTTGGCTTCTCCCAAGATGTCTGAGCTTTCAAATAACTGACTGAGGTCCTCAGCAGCCCCAGGCTTAAGGCCTTATGGCTCTGGAACCTGGTAAGAACCTTTGGTCTCAGGAGCAACAGTAGGCAGATCCGAGGCTGGTGACACTCCAGGCCAGCATATGAGTCCTGGCATTGTGACCTCAGCTGTTCCGCACACAAAGAGGTGGTCTCCCTACCAATGCCTAAACCTGTAAGTTGCATAGGACGGTGGCTCGGTCCCAGGGGGCTGTTGTGGGGAGGTTGGGAAGTTGAAGAACACCCTGGCTCTTCCATCATGTCTGCCAACAGGGAAGAACTGAAGAAAACCAACCCGGTAAAGGAAGAATCTCACCAGGGATGCGGGGGGCCTCTGTGAGCTCCTGCCAGATGAAGGCAGGACAGAGAAGATATTGGAAATGACCCTGTGAACCTTCCAATTTTCTTTCTTTGTTCAGAGCCCAAAGCAGCCTCAGCTTGGCATGGGTGTAAATTGGTGCCTGGCCTTGGGGTGGGAAGGAACGGGTCTGTGATGTCTCCGCATAAGGTCCAGAGGTTTTCAAAACCGTTCCCAGTCCAGGACCCAGCAAAGGCCTAAATCTAACTGACCCATCTAAGGTTCAAAATAACCTTGACAGATACTTTATAGATGAGGGCATGGAGGCCCTGGCACTGAGGAACGTGCCCTCGTTGGTACGGCTGAAAGAGAGGGCAGGTTAGAGCCTGAGCCATTCTTGACACAGCCTTTGGGGGCTTCCTAAAAGTTGTTCCAAAGGGCTTTCTCTATCCGCGGGTTAGACACACATACACTCCTTAGAAACGGATAGCATGGCCAGGCGCTGTGGCCAGAAGCAGACATCGTGCTGGGACCATGTGAGCCTACACTCAACTGCAGCTAGCGCGTGGTTGCTGGGGTCTCTCGTGAGGATTGACTGTTATCTTCCCCCAGTCCTGACAAGCGGCTAACTACACCATGACCTTCTCTCTCTGCAGAAAAAGAACTACAAGGAAATTTGCTTGGAACTGACACAAGTAAGCTGTTTTGAAGCTATGCCTGCAGTCAGGCCTGAGATCCATGGGGAGGTCATTGGAGACAAGGGCCATTTCTTATTCTTGGTGCCAAGAACCTATCCTAGGTGCTGGGGGACACAAGAAAGATAAGGTTCTTGTTTTCATAGGCCTTCACAAGTGACCAGACATAAACAACAGAAAAAGTCGGCTTTGCCGCCTGCTACATGGAGAATGAAGATTAGGAGACAGGAGGGGGCGGCTGTTTTATGGTTGGGAAAGGTCTCCCCTGGAGCAAGCACACAAGGACTAGATGCTGGCAGAGCAGAGTCTGAGAAGGAACCTTCTAGCTGGAAGGAAGAAGCATCCTGAGGTAGGAATAAGCCTGACTATACAAGGGTCGGGGGACAAGAAGAGTTGAGGCCCTCTGAGCCAGAAGAGGTGTGAACACACTGAACCTAGAGAAAGAGAAGGGCAGAAGGGATTTCTGCATAGGCAGGGCCATCAGCTTCTCTTGGTGCCCTGTCTCCAGGGAAGGACAAAACTCAGGGTGGGCTCTTTAGCCCCGCCCACACCTATTATTTCCGGTGCCTCTAAGTTTCTGTTTCAATCCACAGGTAAATGATCACAAAGGACTTAAACAAGAAGGGCTATTCGTCAAAAAAGGGATGACCCAGGAGCTGAAGGTCAGTGTCTGGGCCTAGGTGGCCAGGGTAGAGATCACCTGGGAAAGGGGTGGTCAGCCAGCTAACTTCTGAGTGTGTTGGTACCTAGGGGTACCTGTGGCCGGAAAGCTTCACTAAGTCCTGGTCTTTTATTTTTAATCTGTTACTTTGAAACAATTTGACTTACCTAGGCGTTACAGAGAATGGTGTAGTGAATTCTAGCACACATTTCACCCAGATTCCTAAATGCTGGCCACTTACCACTGTTGCTTTAGTCTCTGATGCTGTCTGTCTCCTTTTCTATACACACACACACACACACACACACACACACACACACACCACCCTGCATATCTATAGGCTCCATGCCTTTAATCCGGCCAATCTGGGATTAAAGAGATTTGATAAAGCACTACAGATATTTTTCCATCACTTCCGAAACAAGACAGTAGTAATCGTTTGCATAGTGTTTACACCTCATGTGTATTGAAGGGGATCCAGGAACGGTTCAAAGTCTGTGGGGGGATGTCCACAGGATGTAGGGGGTGTCAGCGTTAGCAAATTTGGATATCTGCAGGGTTCCTGTAGTTTCTCTCACTGAGAAACTGTTGTGGGTACTTCCTGGTACCCCCTTTCCTGGATAATGGGTGGGCATCTTGGTTGTATCTGGGGTTCTTCCCTCGACCTTCATCACAGGGTCCTGAACCAATTCTCCTTGGATACCCAGAATGACTGACCATGGACACTCTCTGAACCATTTCAGAGTTAAGCTTATCCAGATTTTTAATATGTACTTCCTAAAAAGGACCATGTTCTCTTATGGTTTTCATTTTTGTTTGTTTGTTTGTGTGTATGTGTAATTATCAAAATCACGTCATTAACAAAACCCTTATTTTGATGACATCAGTTACTAACAGCAAACTCATTTGGCCTGGGGGTCTGATCCCTGACATGTGTTTCTTCTAGCACCCCCTCCCCCGCAACCCTGACTGTTCTGTGTGTGTCTGTGTGTGTGTCTGCCTGTGTGTCTGTGTGTGTGTGTGTCTGTCTGTGTGTCTGTCTATGTGTGTGTGTGTGTGTGTCTGCCTATGTGTGTGTGTGTGTGTGTGTGTGTGTCTGTCTGTCTGTCTGTCTGTCTGTCTGTGTGTGCCTGCAGAGGCCAGGAGAGGGCCTCAGACCCCCGTGCAGCTGGAGTCAGAAGCAGTTATGAACTTCCAGATGTGGATGTTGGGAATGGAGCACCTGTCCTCTGGAAGAGCAGCAAGCCTTCCCAACAGCTAGGACATCTCCAGCCCCATCATGTCTCTTTAGTGTGGATTACTTTTTCAACATTTATCTTACCGGATCCTGACAGTTCTAAGGATTTATTTTACTGACTCGTCTGCCTTTTCCAGAGTTAGGCCGGGGGTTTTGGGCAGACCTTCCGAAGCTGTGCTCTTTTTAGTGTGTCCCCCGCAGGTCTCCCGGCCCCACTGTCCCAACACCGCCCTTTCCTTTCCTGTTTGGTAGAGCCCCATGGACCTGCCCTTGTTGACTGTTGAGAGATGTCTCCAATGTGTTTCTCTCACATGTATTTCCTCAGAATGAACTCAGGGAGGTGAGAGAAGAACTCAAGGAAAAGATGGAAGAGATAAAGCAGGTAACACGATAAGGTTTCCGCAAGAGAGGAAAGTGGGACTTTGAGGGAAACCCTGAGGGGTCAAGGAAGTCAGGAACTGCATGGGTGAAGTAACAAACTGACTCACACCTGGTCTCCTGCAGCGTTCCAACCCTGGGCAGCATAGAACATTGATTTCTTACTTATTCCCTGTCTAAGCCCATTTTTCAAGCGATTAAGAATTCCCTAATGTATTAAAGTTGGGGGTGATATTAACCTCAGCGATAAGCGTGAAGAGGAGCTGACTAGGAATTTGACGACAGTCACAAATCAACTGTATCCCCCTCATGCATCTTCCCGGAGGAGGCTGTGCAGACACAGCTCTCTTGTTTCTTAGGGAACAGGGGGACTAAGCAAGGAAGAGTAATTATGGTCTGAGCCCCACATGTCAAAGCTGTTGCTAGGGATGACCTGGTAGTGGTACCATACCCTAGACCCTTCATAGACTTCTCAGGAAGAGGGGCTTATGTAGAGTAACAATTAGCCATCCATTCCCACGATCCAGCTACCACCCTTTACTCAAAATGCCCAGAAGACCCTGTGACTGGCTTCAGGATTACACTTCAGGCCTTGTTAAATCACACTTTTCTTCCTCACTAGATAAAGGACATAATGGACAAAGATTTTGATAAGCTTCATGAATTTGTGGAAATTATGAAGGTAAGCTTTCACTGTATGCCTTCCGTGGGTCACATGGGAAGTGACGGAAGAGACGGCAGGCCCCTGCTCTTGAGGTCCCTATCACCCACTAGACAGACTTGCAGGCCATCTGTTAATCAGAGGTTTAGAGGTAGGGAGAGCGAGTTAGGAGCGGAATCCTTGGAGAGAATCTGGGCCTTAGACTTGGTAAGATTATGTCGCAAGCTTGATGCGAATGTAACTGAAGGCCCAGCATGGTTCCCTTTGGGCTCAGAAAACAAGACGGATAACTGGGACCACAGAGCAGCGGTTTGCAAACATTCGTCTGTTTCAGAACGACTTGGGACAAGTCCCAGGTTCATACTCAGCTAGGGCCTGGGTCCGGCTGACTCAAAGCTTGAGAATCACCGATGCAGATGCTTAAGCAGGCAAAAGGCAGTGCCTAGAGTGTTTCCAAGAGTCCTAAGGGACTCTAGGATTGCTGGGTTAAATTCATGATAACCCCACAGTTACCAAACCAGGGTAGTTAATAGTAAGCAGGGAAATGAAGGAATGTGAGGGCCCCTTTGCCAGGGATGGATGTCCTGAGAATCCCCCGGAAGCCTATTAAACATCCAAACACCCAGACTCCATACAGACTGAAGACTGAATAATAACTATTTCAAAGTGGAGTTGCTTAAGTGCTACAAATGATTTTAAAATGTATATATGGGTTTATATACATTATGTATGTATTGAGACAGTTTCTGTGACACACATTGGCCTCCGGCTTTTGACTGATCCTGCCTCTCCCCAAGTGCCACAACTGTAGGCCACCTCCCGTGCTTGGCTTCTTCCCAAGGCATCTGGATGTGTGCCTTTAGCTGCAAATCGGGTCCTAAACACTTGAACAACATTCATCAGCCTCAGGTGGATGAGATCAGAGAGGTCTGTCACACTGGCCCCTTAAACCAAGGCTTCCCTCAGAGAAACTAAGCCAGAATCTTTGCGAGTGAGGGCCCAGCCCCAGTGACTTATAAATTTCCCCATGGGGTTCTAGTAGACACTTAAGGCTGAGAACCATATGTCCATCGCGTTTTAAATTTGATAAAGGTGATTTGGGGGGTACTAGGGATTGGATCCCAGGGTCTTACATTGCTAGGCAGCCTCTCAACCACTGAACTGGATCCAGCCCTGTGATAAAAGGTGGTTTTAAATGTCAGAAGAAAAGGGTTATGTAATAATAGAAGACCATTGCTCGACTCTGTGAGGAAAAATCAGTTCATTAGCTCTGTAAGCATAAGTGGTCTAAAACATGAACTTGAGAAATAAAAGCCAGTAAGGAAAAGTTATAAATATAAATATAATGGCCAAATTTCAAAGTATTGATGTATTTGCCTATATGAATGTTTTAAAAAAGAATTAAGATGGAAAAATGCCATATGCAGAATTTAAAAGCAATTTGAGGAAATCGTTTTCCATAACTGTGATAAGGGACAAAGGGTTTATAATCCATAAAATATAGATCTCACACAAAACAACTGGAAATAAATGAGAAAATGGGCAAGGGCATGATGGACAGGCCAGAGAGAACAGACAAAGACAGAGAGCACAGCGGCTTTACAACAGTGCGAAGCTGGGGTCCGAGAGATAACTGAGCAGCTAAACAACACAAAGTGGGGGCCCGAGAGACAACTGAGTAGCTAAACAACACAAAGTGGGGGCCCGAGAGACAACTGTGCAGCTAAACAACACAAAGCTGGGGTCCGAGAGACAACTGAGCAGCTCAGAGTGCGTGCTGCTCCTGCAGTGAACCCCAGTTTAGTTCCCAGCACCCACACTGGGGGGGTCACAACTTCCCATAATTCCAGCTCCAGGGGATCTGATGCCTCTGTCCCTGGAAGGCAGCTGGACTCAAGTGCACACACCCAGGCACACACACACCACACAGCATCTATCTTTAAGTAATGTAACTGTCACACCCAAACATTGGGTTTATGACAATGAGCTACTGATCAGAGTACTAATTCATACAAAATCTGAATATTAGAAAATAGACATTCTCAAGATTTATCCCATGAGAATATTAAACTGTCAACATGACTGAGTATAAACTATTTTCATTTCAGAATTATTTATAATAGCAAACATTTAGAAATAGCCACAATTTCCAACAATAGAGAAGTAACTAAATTATGGTTTTTCCATGTATTAGGCCTTATAAAAAATGCTTAATGTAAATATATAGGAAAAGGATTGGAAAATAGATGCACCAAAAAGGCAGATAGCAGTCTTGTGATTCAGTTTTTAAATATTCTCCTGCTTTATCCGGCTTTTTTTGCAAAGGGCATGTACTATTTCTGTATTAACATGCAACCACCATAAGCATTTTATTAGTGGCCACTCTGGGTATGGAGAGACACAAAGAAAGCTATTTCAGGCAGGGAACAGCTTGGGCACAGCAGGAGGATGGCTGTGTTTCCCAGTCATGGGGGAGACAAGCCATGGAGTGAGGTCATCTGGGGGAAACAGAAATAAAACTGCATGGGCACACCGTGGATACTGATGGGCTTTGAGAAACAGCTGACAAGTTGGGACTTGCCTCTCTAAGCAGCAAGCAGTCTCTGGAGCTTCTTAAAGAACACACAAGGAGCAGCTGCTGGCAAGGTGGCCTGGGAGGCAGAGCTGGTGGGGAAGATCTGCAATTGCCTCCCGCTGTGGTAGAGAGAGGACTAGAGGAGAGGGCAGGGAAGAGGGGAGAGTGGAAGGCAACTTGGTGGTTCTTGGTGACAGATTCGGGATAACGGAGTCTTAAGTAAATGTCCATAGCGAGCCCAGAGTGTCTATCTGGGTGGACAAGGCAGTGGAGAAGTCGTCAAGCACAGTGGGCGAGTGGAGCTGATTTAGACGGGGAAGGAGAGGCTGGGCGAGACACTGGCACTGTGTGCTCAGCCCAAGGGGCATGTTTGGCCCTAAGGAGATTTTAATACTCTTCCCGTGTATTCTGACATTTACAACCATCGACACAGCTGTCTTCAAAAACCACCCCCTCCCCACCAAGGGTGTGATAGCTTTGTCAGCTTTCTGCGTTAATTGAACTGGCTCAGAATCTTTCTGTACTAGAAACACTTTCACTGGAGAAAATAGTTTTTATGACCACCAATCCACACTCACTTTCGTTCATAATGAATACTGTCAGTTACAGCTTCTGCACCCTTAGGGATTCTTCTTGTCCACCATTTCTTTCCAGCTTTTCCCATGTCAAATTCTATAGATTATTTTTTCTCTTTTAGTTCTCAGTGGGTAATAAATGAGCCATGTTGTTTTAGCCACTGTCTTCTATTTCATTTTTAAGATTTGTTTTCATTATTTTAAATTAGTGTGTGTGTATGTATAGGTGTATGTTTGTGTGCACGTGCATGTGTGTGAATCCATGCATGTGTTTGTGGGGTGTGGGCGTGGATGCACTAGGTGACCAGATGTATTGGATCCTCTGGAGCTGGAGTTAAAAGCCGGGTGCAAGCTGCCTGATGTGGGTGCTGGGAACCAAACACTCATGTCCCCTGCAGGAGCAGTGTATCTGGCCCTCATTTTACTTCCTTTCGCTTGTTTTATTTTTTGTACTAGAACTGTGTTGTCACATGCACGCATGTGTGTGCGTGCGCGCGCACACACACACAGAGACAAGGGTTCAAACACTGGAGTCAGAATCTTTGAGTTTACAGCATGTTTTCTTAGCTGTGCCATTTCACGGGCATCAACTCAAAGCCTCATCCCCGAGGTTAGGCAGAAGAGCTCCTGGCCTCTGGCTCACCTAGTGGCCATGGCAAGTCTTCTGCCTCCGCCTGTGCTCTGGTATCACTGTGGAGCTGGAGTGGAAGGTGACCGTCAGGGACATGCCCCATTCCCCTCAGCCAAGGCTGGTGAGGATTCTTGAAGTATAAGACAGGAGGAGTTAGCAGAGAGAGAGGGAGGAGGGGAACTCTAAGCTCTTCAGAAGGAGAATTCTAGTCTTGCGTTCTCTCTCGAAGGAAATGCAGAAGGATATGGATGAAAAGATGGATGTTTTAATGACTATACAGAAGAACAACAAATTGTAAGTGTCACCTCCTCCCTCCTCTTTGCTCAGTACCCTGGGGGCTCAGAGAATGCACTCCTCAAGGAACTGCCTTGGCTCCACCGTTACAATGGCTGGAAGTCAAGGCCTTCCGTGCACCCGTGTGCAGGTAGAAACAGTCTCCCCAAATCTCTGCCCACTCCTGACCCACCAGTCCCCTTCAAAAACAACCAAAGGAGCAGCAGGAACTTGGGCAGATAGAAAAGACGGACAAAGATCCCCAGCTCAGACCCAAGAAAATGGAAGAACCTGACAGAGTATCATTGACTAGCGATAAGACAATGATGTCACCAAAAACAAAGACTAATCCACCGGATCCCCTTCATTCGTGTCAGAGTTGCTGCGTAAGTGAATTCCTGTGTGCCCTCAGCACTGTCTACAGCCCCGGGCTGCTCCTGCCCTGACCCTCTCCTCCCCCAACCCCAGAGTTCTTGCCTCACCCTACCCCAGTCCTTAGATGAATCCCCTAGTCTGGAAACCTTCCTTAGCTGCCTGCCTTGGAGGCTGCGGTGAGACCCAAGGCACAGTTGTGCAGTCAGCCCCTAGACGTGCCTGCTCCGAGTTCGGCTCAGTCACTCTGTCCTCTATAGCAAAGCCTGGTGAGGTGCCCAGCAGGCTGGCCAACTTGGACCAGGGAAAAATGATCATTTGTGTGCCGTTTCTGTCCCCTCTACAGGAGAAATGTTTGTTGTGTGCCCTAAAGAACAACTGCCATCGGGGGTAGGTAGAGCCATGCGAGAAGGGCCTTCTCAGTTGGACTCTGGTTATCCCAAAGGAGTGAGCTTCAGCTTCCTTTTGCAGCCAGTCCCACCTGTACAGGGACTAGGGACTGTGAGCGGGGTTCCACCACCCAGCATAATCACCCAGACATAGAGGATGTGGCACCAGGAGAGAGGATTTGGGTGGCTGACCCTAAGGTTGCTGTCCACAGGCTCCCTTGGCGGGGAGGGTACCCCTTCCGCGGCAGCCTCAGCCTGGCCCCAGGTCCCCCACCTTTCTCCCTCCTAGCAGGAGACCTTCACACCATGCCTGGGCGCCCTTTTCACCTTTGTCATCTGGAGCTGCTTTCTGATTTATCTGCACTTCAACCCCGATGAGATGGAGTATGTGCTTCCCACCTAGTCCAGTCATGGAGTCCACCAGCAGCTCCAGCTCATCCTCTCTGAGCTGCAAGGCAGGGTTTTCTGCCCTCTTACACCTCATCCTCACCCCACCCAGGCTTCCACCTGGAGAATAAAGACTTTCATTTGAAGTCCAAAGGTTGTTACCCTTTTGAGTACTAGCTCAACATTTGGGTGTCCAGAGCATCACTTTTTGGCTCAACATATTTCGGACCCCAGTTCCTCTTCCTTTCCCTGTTAGCCAGTGGGACATTCTATCTGAGTGATCTCGGTCTTGTCTCTCTCCACTTCACTGGGCCCTAAAAGTCCCAGGTCAGAGCTCCAAGATGGCCGGAAGATATCAAGCCCCAGTCTGTGTAGACTCAAGACACATGCCCACTGCTCTGCCTACCAACCCTCTACATCCTGCACCCCTGCAATATGACCTGGATGTCAGGGGTAACTCTGGAAACCTCTGAGCCTCAAGTCTGTTCCCCTCTAAGGTCTTATGAATAAGTAGACTGTGATAGCCCTTGTAGTGAATTCTAATGGGTCTTAATAATAAAAACCCAGAGTCAGATATTAGGGGGTGAAAGCTGAAAGATCAGAAAAGATCAGGCAGTCACTAAGAGTTCTTACCTCTACAAAACCCTCAGACAGAAGGGGTGAGCTCCTGTCTTCTCCCACCTCTCTCCTCCCAGCCATATCGCTACCTGTCTCCACTTCCCTAGTGCTGGGATTAAAGGTCTGTGCCTCCTAAGTGCTGGGATAAAAGGTGTGAGCTCTGTTTTTCTTTTTGACTGGTTAAACCTCAGGTAGTTCAGTGTGAGCTTGAACTCTTGATCTTCCTATTTCCTCCTCCCAAATGCTGGAATTAGAGGTGTGTGCCACCACTGCCTGGCCTCTGGTTAACTTGTGGCTAGCACTGGCCTCTGATCTTCAGGCAAGCTTCATCTGTTAGAGCACAAACAAAATATCACCATAGCCTTTCTTGGACTCTGGTGAGGTTCACCTACTTTCTGCCTTTGCAGAGGAGCAATGTCCCTTGTCCCTTCAAAAGACCTTTTCCAAGTTGGAGATGAGCTGTGAATGTGCTAGTCTTTAATTCTAGCACTGGGAGGCAGAGGCAGGCAAGGCAGATCTCTGTGAGTTCAAGGCCAGTCTGGTCTACAGAGAGAGATCTAGGCTAGCCAGAGGGATGCAGCGAGACACTGTCTAAAGTAAACAAATAAAAAATCCCCACAAATAACAAGAAAAATTAGAGATGAGCCAGAAACCACCAGCCTCTCCCGTGCCTACCTCAATTCCCTAAGTGCGGGATGATAAAACTGGCTGCTAGTTTAAATGAGAGGGAAGAAATGTAGAGAAAACAGTGTCTTAGAGACTCTCCCACCACGGGTATGACTCTTTGGCTTTGGTTTGACAGGGCTCTGTATTCATTGCACGCCGATTCTTCCATATCTTCTTGTTGGCTGCTTCTACTTTTATACAGTATAATCAGTCAAGTTCGTAATGGTAACAATACAAACGCATTGGGTGTTTCAGATACACATTTTAAAACAATACTCAAACACAGCGAGTGGAGGCAAATAGGAGACGGATGGGGCTAGCCCTGTCCTTGTTTCTATCTCCACCGTTAACAGAACGACTTGGAGCAACAAGAAACGGCTCTTGCTTTGCTAATGACAAGGTGTCAGAGGACTTACATTACTGCTGGGGGCTTTGGGGTGGGGGGGAATCTGTCCTTGCCTTCCCCAGCCTCAATGGCTGCCTCTGTTTCTTAGCCAGTGCCTGCCTCCCTTCCTCAAAGCCAGCTACAGCCAGTGGGGCCTTAAGCTGTATCACACTGACATGTCTCACCTCCCTTCCTTCAACTTTCTCTTAAAGATTTTCATGATTACATTGAGCCCATCTAGATAACCCAGAATGTTCTCACTGTATCCAATGATTAGCTACAAAATGCAACAGAGGCCTTGGGTGTCTTCAGAAGATTACACTCTACCTCCCATTGTGACATCTCAGATTTCGTATAGGAGGTTCTTCTGTCTATGTTGCTTTCATTGGTTGAATAAAGAAACTGCCTTGGCCTTTTGATAGGTAGGCGGGGTAGACAGAACTGAATGCTGGGAAGAAAGCCAGAGTGGGAGACCCACCATGGAGATGCCATGGTTCTCCTGCCTGAGATGGACACTGGTTAGATTCTTGCCAGTAAGCCATAGTCACATGGCAACACACATTAATGGAGACGGGTTAAACTAATATGTGAGAGTTAGCCAATAAGAAGTTAGAACTAATGGGCCAGGCAGTGTTTAAATAAATACAGTTTCTGTGTGATTATTTTGGGTGTAAGCTAGCTGGGCGGCCAGGACAAACAAAGGGTCATCCCGCTCTCCTTTAAACTCAGACGCTAACCCAAAAATGCTCTGTTCTTTAGGGCACTGGCTTTCACACAGGCCCACAAACTCCATCACTGCTGTCTCACTGAAGGAGTCTGATTGTTCCCCCCTTGTGGGATGGATGCGGCAACCAATGAATAGAAAAGGTTGAGATAGTGCAGGATACCTCAGAGATACAGTGGCTTCCTTCCATCTTGCTGCCCTTGGAAGCCACTGAAGCTGTCCTTGGCAAGGGACTGAAGCTTCCTACCAAGAGCCACCTAACGTACCATATGAGAAGTAGGTCTCAGCCTGGAGGGTGGCTCAGTCGGTAAAGGCTAGGCTCACAACCAAGATATAAGAAGTAGGTCTCATCCTGGGAATGTAGCTCAGATGATTGAGGGGTTATATAACATTCAGAAAGGACGCAGATCCTCAGTACTGTGTAAAACAGGCCCCGTCCACCACTGGAGAATCTCTCCAATCTCTTTTAGAAGGGCACTAACTCCGTTCACAAGGGCTCTGACTTTTAGACAGATTGCTGTTGCCTATTAGATGGTTATTGGAGAGCTAGCCTCCTCTGAAGGCATCACCTCCACGTTTTAGAGGCAGATGACCATCTGAACTACCGTTTCTCCCTCCTCCTACACTGGGAACAACCTCTACCTTTACCATTTTCTAGGGCCTACTTTTCTTCCTCCTTGGGATATTGAGGGCTGAGGTGTTTCTCTCAACCCCACAGTCCCAGAATTATCACACTGCTCTGTGAATGAATAAACTTGATCAGCACTCAGCCTTCAAGGCTCAGAAGATAAAATTAAAATTAAACACTGAAAGAAATCAGAATCAGGGGGCTAGAGAGATGGCTTAGTGGTTAAGAGCACTGCCTGCTCTTCCAAAGATTCTGAGTTCAATTCCCAGCAACCACATGGTGGCTCACAACCATCTGTAATGAGGTCTGGTGTCCTCTTCTGGCTTGCAGACATACATGGAGACAGACTATTGCATACATAATAAATAAATATTTTAAAAAAAGAAATCAGAATCATTCTGGTCTAAAATCTATAGTTATTAATTAATGACAGAAAAGAAAACTGGCCTAGAACACAAGAGAAAGCCCTTGTGACCCAAAAATATAACCCCCAGTTCTGTTGTTCTTAAAGAAAATAAAACATTTCTCCCTCTGAATCAAGTGTCCATAGCCGTAATTTGATCAGTTATAAAATGTTTCCCCAGCCCTCTGCATTCATCTGCTAGTTCATTTTCCTAGTGTGGCTGAGATGAGAATCTACATTTGTTTGAGAGGAACCAATGTAAACTTTACTAGAAAGAAGAACAAACTTGATCCGTGATCTCAAATCACCGTCCCTGGCAGGTGACTCGAAGCTTTGGGATTCAAGCCCTGACCTGTCCCCACGGCTCTATCCACCCGTCTCTGGGGCCTCCCGGTCCTGTCACACTCTGCACAGTGAGCAATAAATCCCCCCACCTGTACCCCCAAATCTCTTCTTGGACCAAAGTCACAACAGAGGTCCTTGTTCTCGCTCAGTTTTCTGACAGACAGAGCACAGGGGGATCCCTAGCCCAACCCTAGACCTTGGTCCCCAGTAGGATTTCCTTCGGCCCATCTGTCTACCTGTCTACTTTGTGCCCTGGGTAAGCCCTCCAGGAGCCCTGGAGTGTTAGAGAGAGCCGAGTTCCCCTGAACCCCTAGGCCTGGCATGCCTGTCAGAGCTAGTTTGAGAATTCCTGAGAAGATGAATAAAGAACAAAGCCCGAAGCAAGCTCGTAAGGGAGTGGTCTTTGCTGTGTATCATTTCGTCTGTCTGTTTGTCGCCTCCGTAGCTGATTCCTGCACACACACCCTTGCTTTCGCAAACGGTAGAAAGTGTTCTTCCACCGAGCTACACTCTAAGCCCCGTGCTCTATCTCTGGCAGCTCTGAAACCCTTTCCTAGAAGAGCCGAAAGTGAGAGAAGCCAGGAGCTACACGGAATCCATTGATTCCCCTCCACTTTTCCTGCTTGATGGTCGTTGTGGATGAATGTACTCATCTACAAAGCATATTGGTACCACTTGGTCATTTAGGCTTGGCAGTTTCTCTCCCATAGCAAACAAGCAACCAAGTACCACAGGACTCCGACTCCCCCTGTTTTGGTTTTGAGACAGGGAGAGCCTCATGTAGCCCAAGCTAGCAAGAACGTTGCTATTTGAACCCCTGACCCCCCTCATCCACTTCCTGGATATTGGGATTACAGGCATGTACCACCATACCCAACTCCATGGAATCTTTTTTTAATATTTCATATATCTATTGCCAAAACTCCCCTCCCATATCCCCATATATTCCTTAGTCCAAGGTTTAGGCATCTAGATTCTGAATTACAACAGTTTCTGGTCCATTCCTCTCAACTCAGTAGATTTTTACCCCAAAGCCTGCAATCCCTGTGTGTAACACACACCCCCAATATACCATCCCTAGCTGCTGCTTTCCTTCAAGTCAGCCCTTGCTCAAACACCACCAGCGCCCACCGCAGACAGGACAGTAGCATTCCTCATCACTTCCCCCTCAATACCTTCCGTTTCTGCACTGTCTCC